AATATGAAGTTAAATTAGTTTATTCATTCTTGCGTGAATCTGAATTCTTATTATTTTTATTCTTCTTTCTTATTTTAAACATTGCTAAAAATAAGTCATAGTACTCATTATAAATAGGGGGTGTTATGCTTTGAGTTTTCTTTAGCTTTTGTTGTGTTTTCTTTCAGATTTCCTGTGTGGAGATCTTTTCTCTTTGTTGGCTTGTATCCAAGGAGGTGGTGGTGCTTCGGCTGCATCCTACTCCGAGGTGGTGTTGTATCTTCCTTTTTACCTTTACTTAACCCCTCTCATCCTCTGCCAGCCTCCTCTTACTTCGTCCAAGCACCCATCCGGCCTTCCCCAACAACATAACCTGGTTGTCCAACTTCCCAGACTTCCTTTCAGCACCTAGCCTGTCTTTCCCAAGTCCAGCTTCCCAAACTTCCTACCAGCAGCCAACCGGCCCTTCGGCATAACTGCTGTCCAGCTCCCCGGACGTCACCCCAACCTTCAACCGGCCTATTCCTACTGTCCAGCATTGCTGTCTCTCTCCTCAGCCTTCATCCCAGCTCCAGACACCGCTGTTATGTGGCAAAACTTGCTTCCCAACCATCCATCATTGCTGTCCCTGCAGTTCTGCACTTTCCCTTTTCTGCTACCAGAATTCCTTAGCTGCTACCACCCCTACCAACCATCCTGCCCACCTAGCCGACCTCCACTGCCCTTGGAATACACCTTGCTACCAGAATTCCTTAGCTGCTACCACCCCTGCCAACCATCCTGCCCACTTAGCCGACCTCCACCGCCCTTGGAATACACCTTAGAGGTGTTTGCTTGTGTCGTTCATGGGTTGTGTTGTTATTTTCTATTGTGCTGTGTTGTAATCTTCTCTTTTCATCAATAAAAGTTTGCTTTGTGTGTTTCCGCTGTTTTTCTAACTAGTTCTGGTATCAGTAAATTTTTGTAATATTCAACTCATATGGTGAACCGACTTCAATTGGGCTAAACCTTGTGCTCTTTATTTTTATCTGTTTTCAATGTAAAAAGCTATCGTTTCTTATGTATTGTCGGTCATTTATCTTTATTTTGTGGGAGCTTTATTTTATGTTAAGATGATAATATCCCCTCTATCTATCACTGCGAGTCCTCTAGTACACAAAAATTACAAAGAAGTGTTGTTGAAAAATGTAATAAAGCAGAAGTACAAGTAGCAGAAGGTGCTTGAGCAGCTGGGAAGAAACAAAACTAGAAGGCTCTGAATCTTATTTCCTGTAATTTGGACAATATTGGGGGTCATTGAGCACAACAATGATTGGTGATTAAATAAATCTAGAAGATTTGATAGCCAAAATGTGAAAAAATGGTTTTAAAAAAAATGGTGTCGAGTATAAGTATAACTTGAGTATTGGAATTACCAATTGAAAGGGCAACATCAGGAAGGAGGAGATATTGTAACTCGAAGTCAGTAGCTCTGAGCTAGCAACAAGAAAGACACGGGGACACATTATATGGAGGAAGAGGTGGTAGAAGAGGACAAAGATAAAATTGCAGTTGATGAAGTACTAAGAAATATAATATTAGGTAACTTTTTTAATCCAGAAGATGGAAATGGAAGTAGATGTAAGAATCTGCAAACTAGCTTTATCATTCGCATTAGATTGAGTATTATTTTAAGAACTTTGAGACGCTAATGACCACTGGAATATGTTGGCTATTTAAATCATTGAACCAAGAAAAAAACTGAATTGCATGAAAGTAGCCATGGTATCTACCTAATTAAATTGGTTTTGGCTAATTGTTTTGAGGATATTATGAATTTATGAGAGGCTTATGGAATAAGTATGAAACTTTACATTACTATGAAGAAATGTTTAAAGCATTATCACTCTCTTAGTCATCACTCATTTTGGCTCAATGAATTATGCTTCTAAATTCATTCATTTTGGGTGTTGCTTCAAGTGTTAATTTGATTCAAGTTATTTTGCACAACTTCTAGCCATATAACATTTGGTCTACTTGTTTTTTCTAGATCTTCTGCATCGCAACTATCTTCTGACCTTAGTTGTGCTTTATTTATTCTCCACTGTACATCTAAAACGCCATCTAAATCTATTTTCTGCTGCTACCTTTAGAATTGGTGCTAATCCCTGTGCCATTTATAAAGTTCTTCTCCACTCATCAACCTTAATTTTATTATTTTTGGCTCCAACAGTCAAATTCATATAACATAATAGGCTTAATTATTTAAAAAAATTTGTTTTAGCACTGTATGATATTCTTTTATTACAAAGTGCTTTTGTAACATTTCTCCATTTGAATTATCTAACTGGACTCAAGATTGTGCACTTTCCTTGATCCCGTCGGTTTGGTTTTATTTATTTTAAGGCATGAATGGGCTTAACTCCATTATTTTGATAATCTATGGAAAGTAGACTGAGTTGGCTAAATAGTTTTTTTGTGTTAACCTTGAATAATTGTATTGATCAAGCTAAAGCTATTGATTTAAAGCTAAATTAAGGAGAAAACATATTATTCAAGTGGTAAACCCAAACCACCATAGGAAGATCAAATATTATTACTGAAAAGCAAATAGATGGTTACAATCACACACACTTGAGAGGGAAATTACAACAAATATGAAACAGACTCACACTAAGGCTCAACCCATGGTGGAGGTTGGCTATGTGGTTGGCGAGCGAAGGTCGGTGGCTGAAATGAGGTTGTAGGTGGAGTGGTGGGGTGAGGTAGGAAATGTTGTAACGCTCAAGGGACAACAAGGAAAACAACAAGCTTACTGTTTTTCGGATGATGACACCGAAGAAGCGAAGCGGGGGAATGTAGGGCAGCAAGGGGTGGCTGTCTAGGACGGGGGCAGCGAGCAAGAAGGGTTGGAATGGGAAGGCTGCAGTGAAAACAACAAAAGCTGCTGTTCTGGGGGCAACGACTGCAGTGAAGGTCCATGTGGAGTGGTGGGGTGCGATGGGGGAAGGATAAATCACCACATTGGGAATGAGATACAATTGGAGCAGCACTAATTCTTGGATACAACCCTTGAAGGGAAAAAAATAGATGCCGACAACTGTCCTGACATAAATATATGCCAAAATCTAATCTAAAACACAAGAATAACGTCTAAATTGTCTTAAGATAAAGAGTAGGAGGCCCCACTCCAAATAAGAGGGAAATCCACATGAAGGAATGGTCGATCGACCCTTCTTGGATTGGTCCATGCTGCTCTCACTCGTGGGAGTTTGTGGCACTAAAGCAACACTGTAACAATGGTTGCAAAATGTGTCTCTAGGTCCCTCCCGTGTCATACATTTAAGTCATTGAATGTGCCTTGGATTGGTCTATGCTGCCCTCACTCGAGGGAGTTTGCGTCACTAAAGCAGCACTGTAGCAATTGTCGCAGAATGTGCCCGCTGGTCCCTCCCGTGTCATACATTTAAGTTATCGAATACATGTGTCGTTCTTATGCCAAATTCATATGTGAAATAATGAAAATCTGCATTTAAAGTATGGTTGGGTCACAGATCAGATTGAAGCCTAACTATATGCTCGTTACGTATATACTCAGTGGGATTCTCAATATAGATTTATAGTGGTGTATATTGATTTTATGGCTGTAATGGGATTTCTGAGACTTGAATTGAATTCCAATACAATAAGTTTGTTTAAGAAGAGCAAAATACTAACTATTTTCTATAATGAACTAGCTAAGAATGGCGTATTTTTTTTTTTAATTGTTCATGGAAGAAATGCTCAGATGGATGAGGGGCTTTACAGTTAGAAAAAAAATGCAAAACTAGTATATCCGTGAAATGATTGGAGTACCTCTAGTGGCAGATAAGATTAGAGAGAGTCGCCTTAGATGGTTTTGTCACATTAAATATGATGACCCAGTTAGGAGAGTGGATGTTTTAAATTTGATTTATGCTAAGATATGTAGAAGTAAATCTAAAAACATTTGGGCAAGTTGTATAAAAATGATCTTGATTTATTAGAATTAAATGAAAATATGACAATGGGAATGGTGGAGAAAAAAGATTCATGTAGCCATCGCCACATAGTGGAATAAAGGCTTGTTGCTGTTGTCGTCGTCATCGTAGCTCAGCTAGTTGCAGCAGAACTTGAATTCATAAATTACAGAAGCTATGTATTAGAGAAAGCGTGCAGTAAAATTCATTGAGGTTGTGTAACATATTGATTGCGTTGGTTTATCTAAATAATGTAAATAGATGAGATTGGACAGCCTACAATTATGTCAATGAGCTCTTAATATAAATGACTGACAAAGGGCTTTTAATCTGATCTGAAGTCATGCTGAAACTGCTGCAGATTTTGTAGTAATTGTGTTAATTTCTTCTGGATATCATCACTGATTCACCTTTTTAATGCCATTAGCCTTGCCTTCCAGTTCATTAACAAAATCCTACTGGTTTTAGGTATTTGACATGGTTAAATATTTTCTCTTTTGCTTTTTGTTTGTTTTTCATGATTGATTAGAAAAATTGTTATGGAAATTTAATCATACATGTTAGGAATGGCTCATTAGCAAGATTTTAGAATAACTAATTATTTATTTGCTTATCTGTTTTTTAAACCTGCTCAACCGGTTTGAGATACAGAAAGTGGTAAGGTGTGAAGGGGCCACACACACCTTTTTAACTGAATTAAGTAGCATTATGAACGTCTTTTTGCTATGATTTTTAGATTTGAACTCCTAATGCCTAGGCAATTTAACATTAAGCTTTCATCATTTTGAATGATTACTTGTAATGATTTTAAAATTTGAACCAGTTATGCCAAGATATTAACCGTTAAAATCACTGGTATTGCTTCATTTACTTAATAATATCGCTGAAAATGTCCTAAATTATTTTTTTGGAGCTTTTCAAGTTTGTGAAAACTTTGTTTTCCCTTTTGTCCGTGCTCTTAAGGAAAGCAATTTTCTTAAAGTTTGACTGCAGTTTAATCTGAGTAGACTTCAGTGGTAGTAAAATTCTATTTCGTTTTTGCAGTTTCATCAGGCTCTTGTCATTTAAAACAACCAGATGTATCCACCCTATCACTTATCGATTTACAGGAAGTTGATAGCCCCGAGAGGTCTACACTAGATAGAAATGTGGTTTCTACTGAAGAAAAATATGAATTGGATGATGTTAAGGCTTGCTCAAGAAGCTATCATGAACATACTAAAATATGCAATTGTGATTTTGAGCCGGAAAGTCTTGTCCGAGGTCTTGTAATGGGAACTTCCGCGATCCTTGCAGCTTCAGCTTATGATGAGGACTCTGAGCTACATTCATCTGTATGTTTCATTGTGGTGTTAACTTAGGAAATAGACAAACTACATCTTTGCATTGAGTTCATCGTGGAGTTTTTGCAGGAAGAACCTGTAAATATGATGTCAGATGAAGAAGAAAGCTGCACATCGGCATCTGAAACTTCATCAATTAACGCGGATTTTCCCGAGAGTGATGGTGAGCAGCTGTTTTTTTTTTTGGTTTTAATGAAATCTTTGTGCTTCATTAATCACAATTCTACCATTTTAGGTTATCCAGAATGCAAAGCTTCGGAACTCTGCCATTCTGCTTGTGGACAGAGGGTTAGCAAACATTTCCTTATCAAGAACAACCATGGATGCCAAGTTTAGTTAATTTTGTTGTTTAATGACATTCTGTTAATGTTTTGAACTATAATTTTGTTAATGCCTACAAGAAAAGTTGTATACTTTATTCCTTAAATGGGACAACAACTACTTTTCCTTTTAAATTGGTTGCTCCTAAAACTTTTATGGCATATTGTTTCTCGCTTTTTCAATTGTCTTCTAATTCTTATGTTTTGCTGTACCCTTTTTTTTCTCTCTTTACGGAGGGTTTTAAAATTTGTTAACTGAGCAGCTTGCTACAAGTAATGTGGTTATAGATGGCTATAATCTTGTAGAAGTTAGCTTAATTAAGTAGGTTTCGATAGCATAAGATCAAAGGGAAAGAAGAGCCTTGAAATCCACTTGTCCTGTTAATTTACCATGTTCAATAAGGGTGATAAATAGGGCAAATGATGACCTTGGGATCAAGTAAATGGTAAAGTGGATATCACTAGTTTTTAGCTCATCAGCTAGGTCATAAGGCTGTAGTTTCCTAAATTCAAAGAGCAAATAACTAACATACTTGGGTGCTGATACGTTCTCAACATCATCTTGGTTTAACGCTACTGCTAGTAAGATGTAAATCATCCCTCTTGGTTTACTTTTCTTCTTAAAAGCATCGTCTTTGAATATTTAAGGGCTTTTGCTGTTCATTTTTTGACTTTTGATATGGAAATGTGTTTAAGTTCATTGGATTTTGAAACAATCTGTCTAGCATTGCTTTGAATGCGAAGCATTGGTCTATTTGACGTGAGTCACATCAAATCACACAACGTAGGTCAACTCCGAATGAAATGCTCAAAATGCATTGACAGGGCCAAATTTTTTTTATGTGTGCAACAAGTTGAACAGGGACCAAAATCCTTTTGAGTCACAAAAATGTTTAGTTTTATTTGTCCTGGCTAATCTGTACAGCCATAGATGTGGTGTAATTTTTGTTTTGATTTGTTCAAGGGCTAATTTTGTAGTTACATTCATTCAATTTCAACTGGCGAAGATAAACTTGTTTATTTTTCATAATGTTTAAATTAGGTTTGAAAATTTAAAGCTCTTTTCAAATCCAGCTCAATTTTAGGACCGACAGTCATACAACTAATGATATTCAGGAATTTATAATCAAAGCATTCATATGATTATTCTTTTCTTTGCATTCATGCACATCTTCCTTTTCTTATCTTCTTTGTTATCTTCTTCCTCGACATTAATATGCAAGTTTCTGCTAGAAATTCACAGATAGTGTTCTGTTTAGTAAAACTTAAACAAACGTTAATGATAATTTTGGATCTTGATCGGGTAACCAATGCTTTACTTATTGATTCTTTGTTGTTAATGGTGTTATTAACTTTTTGCATGACTGTTTTGGGTCGCTTATTTGATTGAAATTGATGTGTCATTAATAGAATTTATCATTAGACACAAAGGTCGATGCATTTTTAGTAAAAAAATATATCAAATTCAAATTCTGGATCATTCGAGCCTCGAATTTAAAAATTTTATAGTCAAACTGAGCATCTCGAGTAGACAAAACCGATGATGCTAACAATTCGTATCTAAATGAGCCCAAATCAAATACTTGAAGTGTATTTGAATACTTTGATGCATCCATTGAAAGAGAAAATGATCTTAAAATATGATATACTTATAGTCAAATCGAGCGTCTCGACGAGAGGAATCCAAGAGCCCAATATCTTGTAATTCCAAAATCATTAAGACAGGTAAATATTGAAAAATTTTCTAGCGATCAAGGAAATTAATATGGATCATTCAATAGAGTGTTTTGGGAGGTTGACCAAATTTACCAAAATGCACATCTAAAAAATTATCAATAGGCTGCTATTCTTCACTTAAAGGGGGGATGAGATAAGATATTAAACTGAAAACTAAAACTTAGCACTTAACAACTAAAGCTTAACTCTTGAAATGTCAACATTTGTTACCAGTCATTGGAGTTCGCCTCCAACCACCACCACTAATTATTACAACCAAGTAAGACCATTATAGCAACTAACTATTATTATTGTAGCAACCACTACAGTTCTCGTAGCCCATCATTGGAGTTCGCCTCCAACCACCACGACTAATTGTTACAACCAAGTAAGACCATTATAGCAACTAACTACTATTATTGTAGCAACCACTACAGTTCTCGTAGCCCAATTATGGTTGTTATATCCCATTTATGGTTGTTGTAGCCAAACTAAAATTATAAAACTTTGAAGTTCCGTTCTTGTAATCTCATGTTTTCTAATTTAGGTGAAGAGTAAGTCTTTGTACTTCTAATTTTCTAGTGGATTGTCTAGACTGTGATTTTTTGACTTTCTAAGTTTTTCTACATAAAAAATCTGGCTATCTCTTGCATCCCTTTCTGTATGTGCGTTGAAAAATTATATCGAGCTAAGGCATAAAATTACTCTATCATCGAGAATTTTCTAAATTGCAACAAAAATGAAATTTTTTTAATGTATGAATAGTTTTCTTTGGGTGCAAGTATTTTTTTTAGTTTTTCGATATCTATTAGCCTATTTGAATGGGCTCTTTGAGTGGGTTAACATGCTGGGAAGTTTAACTCTCTTTAAAGTCTGTCTTAATTCACTCATCTATAAGAACGGTAGTTTTTGGTTACTCCTTTATTTTATAGCGCAATAACAATGCTTCAAATTTATTACTGTACTACTCCCATCATAATTGTAGTTCATTGTTTCAGCAAATTAAATTCTGAGAAATATTTTTCTGTCAGCAACAATTTCATTTCAGCCCATGTTGTGGTAAATTTTAATCTCAAGCATTTCTTCTGTCATCTTTCACCTAACAAATACATTTACTTGTTTTCCGTACTTAAAGTGCCAATCAAAATCATCTAGATCGCTTATTCAATCTGAGAAGGCTTTAGGATCTTTCCTCCCAGTGTAAGTTGTGGCATCCATTGTAACCTTCCTAGTATATTTTCATTGATCTCATAAGGTTGTCCTTGATTGTTCTCATAATTTGCATTGGCATATTCCCTATGATATCTATTTTGATTATGCCTCTTATGTTGAGTTTAATGCCTTCTAACAATGTTATGAATATCTTCTTCATTTAGGTTAGATTTGTTATGTGGTTCATGTGGGTGTAATTGATCTTATTTGATCATTTTCTAATGTCTCAAGTTACTCATTAATTCATTGTATGATTAGGCTTAGTTGATCTTATTTGTTAAATAACACCTTTAATTTTTTTTGTAAAATATCTTGAACATCTTCTTGGTTATATGCTAATTTAACCTAAAAATTTGCCCCACTTTTAAGTGACATGTTCACATCAACCTAGGTTCTAATACTAATTTAATATAGGACAATGGTTGGTTTTGGGTTCCATGCTAAAATCCTAGTTATGTTCTAATACTAAATAGGATGACATGCTAAAATGCAAAAAAGCACAAATTGTAGGTCTCTAATTCATAATTTAGCTATCATTTGTTGCTTTTAAATAAGGAGATTGGATATGCTTTATTCATTTTACAAAATAATTTAACAACCCCCATAATCCAGAAGTCTACAAAAAAAAAAAAAATTCAATTGTGGATAATAAAATTTAACAACCAATAAAACATCTGCTTAAAAAAGAAAACTAATGCTGATTTTGTTAATAAAATTTCAATTATCTTGTCTAGCTTCTAAACAATTTAAAAGACAAGAATAAGAACAGAATTAGGCTTACCACCAGTATAATGAGTCTCATTTCAAAATATATTGACAGAACTAATGTAAATTTTCACTTTTTTATGCTTTTGACGCTAGTAGGTTTTTGAAAATTTTCTTCAGCTCTCTCTAGCTCTCTTAAGGTTCATTCTCGACAACTCAACCAACTACAACAAAATTTCCTACAAGGCAACAAATCTCCCCTCAAAATATGTTCATTGAACAGATGTAAATTGTCACTTTTTTATGTTTTTGGTGCAAGTATACTTTCAATATTTTCCTCATCTATTTCTAGCTCTCTTAAGGTTCATTTTCGACAACCTCGACCCCTTGCTCAATATAAACATTTTGTCAGATTTGATTGGGTTTTCACCCACTGTCTAGCTATTTGATCTTATTCTAGCAGATCAAAAGTCTACGAGACAGGCTATTTTGATTTCTCCTTTGTTGCTAGACTTAACTTCGTTAAAACCACTTTATATGTTTTCATCAATCAAGGATAGATAATGATACAAATGGATGTGACTAATGCCTTCCTCTATGGTATTCTTATTGAGGTAGCTTATGTGAATAAAACTCTTGGGCATGTTGCTTATTCGGAGAATCACATAAGTTTATTCAAAAGGTTATCTATGGGCTTAAGTAGAGTTCACAAGCTTGGTTTGGAAGTTGTGTAAAGTTCTTGCCGAGATGGTCTTTGCAGTGGCACCACGGATCATTCTTTTTCTTCATCAAAGGACTCTGTTATACTGACTTGTTACGTTGATGATATCTGAGTTTTTTAAGAGAGTTGAAAAAGGCATCTTTAAGTAAAGAAAATTTGAAAAGTTTTTGTCACCAAAGAGCTTGGTCGCCCAAAGTACTTTCTTGTAGTTTAATTTGCGTATGACAAAAATGATTTTGTAGTTTAATTTGTGTATGACAAAAATGCTGTATTGGCTGGCATCATTGGCTACAAACCTATTGATACCCTTGAGGACTCATATTATTTTTTGTACTGAAGAGCTCCTTGACGATTCATCTTAGTTTTGAAGATTTGTTGAAAAATAGGATATTTTGGATGTTGTATGATGCATTATTAGCTATTAAAACTCTTTTGGAAAAGGGTTGCAAAATATTTAGGTTGAGCAGATGAATGTGAAAGCTTTTTTAGAAGTTGATAATTATGCTAGTTTAGTTGAAAACATGATATCGCAAAAAAAGTAGCACTATCATCACTTTTAAAAGTCAAATACACCTTTTCATTAGTAGGTTTAAAGCACCTAAGTGTTGTGTGTATAAATATGAAAGTTTAGGTGTGAGATACATAAATACATAAGAATTGTGTGCTACTTATGTAAATTTATCTTTTTTTATTATTTTAAAGGTTACTTGCTTATCATTGTGGATTTCTTCTTTCCATGTTCTCTTGTTTCATAAATTACCATGCTTATTTCTGTTAGGTGTTCATTTTCTTTAAAGTTTGTTATATTAAATTACTATGATTTTGCCAGTAAACTTTACTTGCCCATTTATTCTTGTATTGATATTTGTTATTGACATTGCACGTATTTAAAGGTTTTGCTAATTGCAGAATTGTATATGAGGGAGGGACTGCAATATTTTTTTTTATCATGTCAAAGCTTTCCCAAGACTAGCATCTTTGTTTACTTCTGTCTGATTTCAAGTTGATTTTGACCTGCAGTTATGCTATGATTTCTTAAGGGCATGTTTTTCATGATAACATTGCTATCAGCTTGATTTGTTGGTTTGATACATATTTTCTTGGTTTGCAGGATGACAACAAAAATACAGTCGTTGTTTTCCCTGATTATGTTAACTACAGGGGCACACTATTTCTTGAATCTCAGTTAACTTTCTGTTCTGACTGCATTAAAATTGAGTGTTCTGAATCAAGCAGAAGTGATGAAAAGCTTAATTTAGTGCGTGACATAGCAGATATCATCCGGATTGCATGTCAGTGGAGTAGAAGTGTGGGTCATACTGTTGCATCTTTTAAATTTATTTATTTTTAAATTGTTTAGACACTCATGATTTTATTAGTTGGATTTTCTCCTTTCAGGTTGACGCTCTATTGTTTATGTTTTGGATTAAAACAAATGCTAGCCATGGTATTCACTAAACTAGTTTTACCAGATCATGTTTTTTTCTCTCCATTTATGAATCCTTGACTGTTGTCCCCCTGAATTTTTTCTCAATGGTAATTTCACATATTCTTCTGAAGCGCATAAATCTAGACTGTGTGATTTTAATTCTTTATAGATTCTTTCCAAGCTAAGAAAAAGTCTATGTAGGTTTTAGGAGAGTAGAAATAATTATTCCTCTTCCAATTTTATAGGAAATTATACCGGAGAAGCCTGCCATATTAGGAAAGCCACAATCCCCATGCTAAATATCGGAAAAAAAAAATTCTAACTTTCCAATAATAACAATCTTTAAGAGTAGGAAATACTAAAAAAAAGGAAGATGCTAAGTAAACTTCCAAAAATTTTAATGCCCCCTCCTATTTATTCCACAATCAGTCTTCTCTTTTACAAAGTGCTTGTCAATTTTCACATGCTTTGTTTGATCATGCCGCACCGAATTTTCTGCAATTCTTATGGCCGTTTTATTTTCATTGATATTGGAGTTAACTCACACAGCAATAGGAAAGTAAATATTATTACTTAAATTCAAATAGGAAGTTATATACAACCAACTGAAATATGAAATAACAACAAACACAACACACTTGACTCCTGTTGGGGTTGGTTCAAGGGGAGTTGGAGGTGGTTGTTGAGAGTCGGGAAGGTGACGAGGTGATGGACTGAGGTGGTTGGGTAGCAGAAACCAGTAAGACAACAATTTCCTGGGTTCTAGACAGGAAATACACAACAAATATTGACGTCGCATGACTGTGCGGGAGGCAGGGAAGTGGTTTGGAATGGATGGAACATCAGCCAAGGCTGCAAAAGAGCATTTATGGTGGCCGAAAAGGCAGCAAAGGAAATGGATACGAGCAGTTGGAACAACAACCAAGTGGCGGGGAAGGCAGCTAGCATGCAAACTGCAAAAAACAACAAAAAGATCTTGTTCCGGGCTCTTGCACTAGCGAAGAGGCAGCTGGGTGCGATTTGGGAGGATGCGGAAGGGGATGGGGGAAGAAAATCACCACTTAGGGAGAGAGATACAACCGGAGCACCACCCAAATCCTCAGATAAAACCCTCGAAGGAAGAAAACAAATGTCGGCTATCCTTGGTCTCAAAAACAAATGATTGGTAAGTTTTCATCTAGTTCATGTCATATATGTCATTTTCCGTGAAAATTATATGGTCTACATACAAAATCAGTATGACTATCTTCTCATCCTTTGAAAGTGAAAAATATTGTATGATTTTCTTTCCCTTAATATACCTCTGACATTTGACAAATAGTATAACTATCTTCTCATCCTTTGAATGTTTGAAAAATATTGTATGATTTTCTTGCCCTTAATATACCTCTGACATTTGACAAATAGTATAAATTTTTAAAGAATGCTCTCGGTGACTATTTTAACCCATATAATAATTTATTTTAATTTACACACCTTTATACCAAACTCCTCACTAAATTATGGGGTTTCATCTATAAGCACTTCTTCTTCTAAGTTCTCTTTGAGAAAGTCACTTCTTATATTCAACTGTTATAGGGGCTAGTCATGATAGCTGAAGTAACAGAAGAACTCTTATAGAATTTTGTTTTGTAAATAAGGCGAATGTTTCCTAGTAATCAATGACATATGTCTCGGTGAATCGTCTGACAACCAGCCGAACCATCATAATTATATTTGATTGTAAGCACCTATTTGCACTCGACAGTTGTCTTCCCTCTTGGTAGATAAACAAATTCCAACGTGCCATTTTTTTCAAGAGCTATCTCCTTGAAGATAGGCTCCTTTCGCAGAGGAACTTTCAGGGCATCCTGCTATGTATTAGAAATCTCCATATGAGGCTATTGTGAAGTAGAATATGAAAAATGGGTGAGAGATTTTCATATAAAACAATGAGACAATGGATATTGGGTGCAAGACTTTTTTCCCTTTCAAGCAACAAAGGGAAGACTCAAAAGCATTATGGGTCATAAGGGAAGGTGGCGACCTCAATGGGTGTCAAAAATAGACTCAATTGATATGAATACTCTCAAAAGTACTTAATGGGCTTAGTCATCTTGACCCAGAAAACTTTCAAGTAAATGGCCAATTTTGGTTATAGAGGTCCAGCCGTATTGTACATCCATGCCATTGCTTGCATAGCTCTACTCGTTCTTCCTCAGGTAGCATTGTTTTTCTTCTTTCATTCTTTTTCTTCCTCTTATCAGGCACTTGCATATCTAAGTTTGGATGATGTGTCCCTGTTCTTAATAGTTCTATAGCAATATCGTAGGACACTAGTCAAAATATGCCAACAATTCACATTAAGCCTTTATAAGACACATCAAAGCGGTGGGAAGATGGAGGACAGAGGAATTCATGTAATGGGAGGCATCCCAAGATAAAAAGAGACATTAAACAAGAAGATAGCATCCAAAAGTGCAAGAGTGTAACACAACAAAGATAGAAGCCCTGGACTTAATTTTCTCAGTGATAAGCTCCTCTAGGCTGGTTTCGTGGAGAACATGATCCTATGAAATGTAATTCTCTTGAAAACCCATTATTAAAAGATCTAATGTAGACTTTTGAGTTACTCAATTGTTCGAATACTTTTGTTTCTTCTTTTTGATGCTCATGTACTTTGCATGTAATATTTATGAGTGAAAGAGTAATCCTCTTTCTTTTACTGTAGACTTAGATCTGAATTGTTGAACCATTGTAAATTTCATCATCGTTGCTAATTGTGATGTAAGCTTTTCTCTCACATCTATCGGCTCCCCATTCACAATTGGTTATAAAGAAAGCTGAATCTCGAGTCATTTTTTGATTCTATCTTGAACTTGAATGATCCATTGTATGCTGTGTCTTATTGGTAAGGTAGTAGCAAATTTCTTTCACGCTTGACGTCGTTTATGGTAAACTAAATTCATTGTAAATTGAAATGAACGCATCCATGCCAATCTTTGTTGATGCGTCGCCATGAGAATCATTTCCTTCAACCACATAACGTGTAAGTAGCTCATAAACATAGCCTGGACATGCATTCTCTAACTTTCCCTAGCTCCTTGTATCTTTTCTTTAATATAGTTTTGTTTTTCAGCATACCGAAACGAGAATCAATGACATTAAAATGCAATCTACTTTTTTTAAGCATGTATGCTGGGCTAAGTTTTCATTGAACTTTACATACATTTATTTGCTGTTCAAGGTTTTTTTTTTGGGTTAATTAATGTATCAATATGGTGATACAACATTTGTCAATTTGTGTTATTAGTTTTTAAACCAAATGAAATTTTATATGCTGTCATATTAATATTTCTGCGGGCTTAAATGATCTTGATTTTCCAAAATTTCTTTTAGTAGGATATTTGGCTCAATTACTTGTCAAAATTCATTATTTTTTGTGCTTGATTTATGGCTAGGCCATTTTGAATTTCATAAAGTTTGGTTCAATGGTCTTGTTTTTAGGTTTGGAATTTATGTATATTTTGATGTTTAGGTGAAATTTATATTTTCTATTTGTAAGATCATAGCCTATTCTTCAAAGTTTTTATTTTCTTATTAAATCAATAAATTAAGCCATTCAATTAATACAGTAAAACGGAAGGCCTTTCATCTCATTCCTTTTTTCCAACAAAAAAAGTTGTTTCGTTAAGTTTTCTTTATCTAGGCTTCTCCTTCTTGTAAGTTTGTTGAGGAAGAGAAAAACCTCAAGGACCAAAGAATCTTTGCATGAAGTTTACAAGAACTGATATGGGAAGTGAGGATTCGAGGTTGCTGGATCTTGGCTCCAGTAAAACCCTTTCCATTTCACTTCTTGCAATGGCACATCTTTTGAACTTTGTAGTTTGTAAAAATTTAAGACCTTGTTGCACAAGATGAATTTAATCAGCTTCAGCAATATTACATTTATGTGGAAAATTTTGGGGCAGTTCCATGAATGGAGTGTTCTCTTCCTAATTTATTTCACTATTGGTACATATAACAGAAGACTTTATTTTGATTTGTGAGAAATAAGTGGCACTTTGAATATAATAACTATTGGTTCTACAAACTATCTCATGCTTGATGTGGTCATTAATCTGATGAATTATATGCTAATCATTTTTATCAAAAAAAATCATCTTCTTATCTTGTTTTAACGTTGACTATTGAGAAATTAAATACTCGTGTTTCTACGCGTTACTTTTCTATTTTTCTTTCTCTTCAGAAGATTAGTATTTAGACACTCGTATTCGAACTGCTGATGTATGAATATTTGCTAAATGCCCTTATAGATGTTGAGAAGTTTATAGCATCTATAGCTGGCGAGTTCTGTGTGGATATAGATAAGAAGATCCAGTTTTTGGCAGAAAGATACAAAGATATTTGGACTACTTTTCCTGAGTAAGCTTTGAAATTCAGGGCTTGAGCAGTTATATTTCTCTGTTTTATTGAACACTACAAACTAGCAATAATTGTGATTTTGGCAAATGTTATATAGTTTCCTATTTTTATTAAATAAAAGTACGAGCACATCAATGTTTGTTTAGTATGCTTTTCATTAAATATCGTTCAAGGCCACATGATCAGCCTGAAACTCTTACTCTTTGTTTTCTTCTTTTAATTTATTTTCTTTATATAAATTTATGTATTTTAGTCTGTGTTTGAGATGCCTTTCTTGGGCAGTTAAAAGAAATAATTACACTTTAGGGCTTTTGTTTCATTACAGAATCTATATATCTTATAATGGAAAATAGAACCATTTTTTATCTGTTAGTGCAAATTTTTTTTTTCTTATTGCTAAATTTCACAATCTTATTAGCTTTTATCACACTAGCTGCAAATGTTTTATAATGATTATGTTATCTCGAGAGTTGAGCTCTTGTATGGTGGATGGATTAAAGTATCATTTAATGCAGGATTTACTATAAAAAAAGAACAATAAGACCTTTTCTGGTGTCCTAATTTATAGGTGGTCCAATAGCATTTGGCATGATTGTTATTGTTATTTTTTTGTGCTGTTTATTGTCATAACGAGGACACTTACGTATTGAAGCTATGCTAAGTAGATGCTAGTGCACGGCCAACTTCATCATAATAATTATCATCTTTATCTGCGTTGATCTTATAATGAATAACTATCTTCAATTTTGTCTTTATTGATCTTAATATGTTGTGCGTATTTAATCATCCTGATCTTCATTTTCCTCATTATATTTGATTTTCTTATGCGCCACATGTTTTGGTGATCATTGCCATTGTTTAATAGAAGCGAAAAAGCTAATGTGATGTATAATTAAAATTGAGTCCAGAAGGCAAAAGTAAATGAGACGAGGATGTTACCGGTTCTAATATTTTTTTAACATAATTATCATAGGACACGAGCAATTAATCCTAAACAACTAATTATTATTTTTGATGGTAAAGAAAAATGATTTCAATCCAATGTTTATCTTTTTATTTACCAGAAACATATGGCATTAATTAGGAATCTCAAAAAGACATGCACATTATTTTAATCTTATGCGAAAGCTAAAAATTAGAACTATAGTAAATTTCACAAAACCCATTATGGGTTTTAAACAATGAAAAAATGCTAAGAGGGAAAGGGGAAGTAGTTACCAAATAAGCAAAATATCGAGATAGCCTCTCCCAGAATTTCAATTTTCAAATTTGACAGACTTAGGTCTTGAAATGCTATCATATTGATTGAGCCAACCATGAGCTTATGAGCCGTTCTCTAAAAACCCTCCTGGCTATGAGCTTAAATAGAAAACAAATGAGTTGCAAGACAAAAATGGTTGTCATAGTCTTGGAAGAAATTGCAACGGAGCCATATAAGCTTTTATCAGAGGAGCCATGAAACGAAACTTAAGGCAGGCAAAAGGAATTGGTGATAGTTATATTCCTACTAGAATACGCCACATGAAACTGCTTGCTGTAGTAGCCACAATAGTAGATACCTCATTGATTCTCCTCAGCTTGAAAACAATTCTGCTCCTGCTCATTGTTTAATTAACATTCTTTTATTTAAACTTGATTTGAAATTTCTATAGAATTTTCCATGAATCAAGCCTTTCAATTCGCCCAAGTTGCTTTGATTTTTGCAATCATTTCATTATTTATAGTTGCTTCATTGATATGATGAATATGCACAATTTTACATTTGGAAAATGTGCAAATGATGCAGTGAATGTGAAAAAAGAAGGTGGAGATTGATAAGGAAAACATTTTAAGGTTCATGATCTAGAGTTTGTTTGGATTAATTAAAATTTAAGCAATATCAAAATTTTCTCAAATTTCTATATTTAGGTGGGCAATAATTTCATAGCCTTTTTAAATACCCTATATATATATATATATACACACTGAGTTCGACCTTCTGGTCTGATAATATTATTGTTCTAAGCTAAAGCTTAATCCAGTGACCATCATTGCATGTGGGCATTTTTATGTCTGGGATGGATGCTTTGTTGCCATTGCATGCGGGCATTTTTATGTCTGGGATGGATGCTTTGTTGCCTGGTTCTTGTTAATAGTTTAGCATATATGAATTGTATTCAAAAAGTAATAATACCTTCCAAATAATTACATTGAGATAAACTGAATAATAATTTAATAAAAGAGAAAATTTCTACTTCACATAAAAATATGTTAAATGAAATTTGTGGTGACATTTGGCTTAAAAAATGCTCTTTCTGAATTTCAGAACATTATAAATGAAATCTTCAATTCATATTCTGATTATATATTAGTTTACATTGATGATGTACTTGTTTTCTCTAAATCAATAGAGGAACATTTTAAATATCTACAGACTTTTCAATGGCTTGCCAAAAATAATGGGCTTGTAATCTCTGCGCCCAAAATCAAATTATTTCAAACCGGAATAAGGTTTTTAGGGCATAATATTGTCCGGAATACAATTATTCTAATTAAAAGAAGCATTGAATTTGCTTCTAAATTTCCAGATGAAATCACTGATATTTGACAATTACAAAGATTTCTTGGTTCGCTCAATTATGTAGCGGACTATTATAAAAATCTTGCTTTAGATGCTGCTATGATACTAAAGCTGTCCAATTAATTAAAGAAAAGGTAAAAATGTTACATTGTTTACATATAACAAATTCGTCTCCCTAAAATAGTAGAGACAGATGCCTCTAATATTGGCTATGGAGGTATCTTAAAGCAAAAAACTTTTAATAAAGAACAATTAGTTCGCTTTACATCTGACAAGTGGAATACCACTCAAGAAAAATATTCAACCTTAAAAAAAAATGCATTCGGTGGTCAAATGCATTACCAAATTTCAAGATTATTTATTAAATCAAAAATTCTTATTAAGAATTGATTGCAATTCAATTAAGTATATACTGCAAAGAGACGTAAAAAATTTCGTCTCTAAATAAATTTTTGTCAAATGATAAACTCAATTATCTTGTTTTGAATTTGATATAGAATATATTGCAGGTAATATTAATTCTTTACCTGATTTTCTCACTCGTGAATTTTTGCAGGAAGAAAGATAAAGAGGGGTGGATCACCCCTCAACAAAGGGTTAGAATAACACCCCAACGGGATGCTTTCACCTTTAGAGAGGGAGGTAGGGGCCAACCTAATGTGGCTCCACAAAAATTTGTTCGATTTACAACAATATCTATATGGTAGCCCAATGTCTTCCACATCAGGAACTAAATCTTCTCAATCTCAGGATTTAGAAATCCAAGAAGTCACAGAATTTGTGTAAAAAACAACGAAAGAAAAAATTTTCGAAATCAATTTAGAGGATTATGAAATTAATGATAATTGAAAAATCCAGGAAATATATTTAGCATACTTGCCTATGCTCAAGATAGTCTTGATCGAGAACAAAAAATGATACTAAAGCTATCCAGTTAATTAAACAAAAGGTAAAAATGTTACATTGTTTACATATAACAGATTCGTCTCCCTAAAATAGTAGAGACAGATGCCTCTAATATTGGCTATGGAGGTATCTTAAAGCAAAAAACTTTTAATAAAGAACAATTAGTTCGCTTTACATCTGACAAGTGGAATACCACTCAAGAAAAATATTCAACCTTAAAAAAAAATGCATTCGGTGGTCAAATGCATTACCAAATTTCAAGATTATTTATTAAATCAAAAATTCTTATTAAGAATTGATTGCAATTCAATTAAGTATATACTGCAAAGAGACGTAAAAAATTTCGTCTCTAAATAAATTTTTGTCAAATGATAAACTCAATTATCTTGTTTTGAATTTGATATAGAATATATTGCAGGTAATATTAATTCTTTACCTGACTTTCTCGCTCGTGAATTTTTGCAGGAAGAAAGACAAGGAGGGGTGGATCACTCCTCAACAAAGGGTTAGAATAACACCCCAACGGGATGCTTTCACCTTTAGAGGGGCAAGGTAGGGGCCAACCTAATGTGGCTCCACGAAAATTTGTTCGATTTACAATAATATCTATATGGTAGCCCAATGTTTTCCACATCAGGAACTAAATCTTCTCAATCTTAGGATTTAGAAATCCAAGAAGTCACATAATTTGTATAAAAAACAACGAAAGAAAAAATCCTCGAAATCAATCTAGAGGATTATGAAATTAATGATAATTGGAAAATCCAGGAAAGATATTTAGGCATACTTGCCTATGCTCAAGATAGTCTTGATCGAGAATCTTATGAGGCAATCCTCATTTCATTACAATATGTTGAAATTTAACACAATTATAATGAACTAAATAAATTTATTGCATATAGTAAGACGACAATAAATCACATCTTATATCAGAGAGATTGGGGTTTAACTCCTTTCCAGACTAAACAGGTTGAATTTATTCATCCTGTAAGTAATTAGAAAAAATCATTTCTTTTTAAATACTGGACTTATATCCAAGCTTTGAATCGAGCTTTCTTGCTTATTAATCCAAAGCATAAACACTCTTGGCTTTTTGTGTTAATGCCTGAAATTTTGAATAAAAAAAATACTAGATTGGTTTTTAGAATGGTGGGAAAAATTCGGAGCCACCAATGAAATTTTTCCAGAACCCATCAATGATCTCTATCAAATGTGGGTTAACTCTTCTCCACAGCTCGACAAATTAAAAAATGAAATTCTTGCGGATGGAATGCGTGAATTATTTTTCTTTTGTCAAGCACAAATTTCATGGATCTTTGCTTGGAATCTATGTCATCAACAAGATAGAGTCAATGTCAAAGAATTATGGAGGACCTTCATCAAATGGTGGTCACAAATCGTTGTTGGTGATAAAATAATTCAAATTAATAAAGTCATTAATTCTAATGTCGAAAATAATCGAGAACAGAGATTCCACGAATTTTCACTTAAGGAAATTCATGATCAAATTAAAAGGAAATTTCCCCGAGAATCT